GAAATCATTTCTGATCGCGCAGGGATCACTCAAACACACACACACACACACACACACACACACACACACACATCTTTTGAAACAAACATTTTTCTTCCTTACTTTCTTAGGAAATTTTCTCAGTCTCGTTATATTTAATTCATAATTTTTCTCAATCTAGAAATAATTTCTTATCGTGCAGGGATCACACAATCATGCCCATCACACACACACACACACACACACACACAGGACATCATTGGCATCTGTTTAACGTGTAAATGAAAGTCAGTCAGAGGAGGAGTCTCACACTGATTGTGATGCACAAAAGAAATGTGTGTGGATTCTGGTGTACGCACACTTTGAAACATCTGGATTCATTGGTGGTATGCTGTTTTCTTGATTTGATTTCCAGTAAGAAATCCACACAAGTCTTTGTACACGAGGCCCCTGGTCTCCTCAGTTACCTTCTTTTTCTTAAAATGAATGTAGATTTTTGAAACGATTGCATTTTGTTTCGTTGGCACGGCGTCCCAACTTGTCTGGAGTTGGATGTATTAATGATAAAACAAACATTTAAATTTGTCTTGTGAAATACATTCTGTGCTTTTTGTTTTTCTTCAGATGGGATTAAATCCGTCACTGCCACCTCAGTCTCTCCTGTCTCCACACTCCAAGCTGCAGATTATCCCTCCAGCAGCACTCAGCACACAAACCCACGAGAGTCTGGATTTAGGTAATCCTTGAGTTATGCATGTTTAACCAGTGAAGGGCTTTTCTTTGTGTTCTGAGACAAATGAGCTCAAATGTTTCTACCGATTATGTACAAAATCCTTCAGAACAGTTTTTATCCACTCATAGTCACAGAAATAACCAATCTGACAAAAGTTATAATAAATAAAAATTCTATAAAAACGAACAAATGAAAAAAGTCAGACTTTGCTTTTCAACCATGGTTCAACAGAATAAAAAAATAAATAAAATTAAAAACCTCATGAAACAGGCCTGGACAGAAATGATAGTATCCTTAACTTAATATTTTGTTGCACAACCTTTTAAAGGCATTCACTGCAATCAAATGATTCCTGTAACTTCTTCTGCAGCTCTCAGCAGGTATGTTGTTCCACTCCTCCTGAGCAAACTGCTCCAGTTGTCTCAGGTTTGAAGGGTGCCTTTTCTTCAGACAGCATGTTTCAGCTCCTAAAGGTGCTCAGGAACATTTAGGTCAGGCTCATAGAAGGCCACTTCAGAATAGTTCAGTGTTTTCCTCTTAGCCATTCTTGAACGTTTTAGCTTTATGTTTTGGGTCATTATCCTGTGACTGAGACCAAGCTTTCTGACACTGGGCAGCACATTTCTCTCTAGAATCCCTTGATAGTCTTGAGATTTCATTGTACCCTGCACAGATTCAGCACTGCAAAAACTGTCCATCTTACCAAGTTTTAAAATCTTTTATCCAGCCAAAAAAGTCTTTTTGATCTTGTTTTGAGACTGATTTACTAAATAACTGATTGTGTAAGAATAATAATCTTGTTTTCAGAATGTGTAAGATTATTTGTCTTGTTAGCCTGAAAATTTGACTCAAATTAAGTCAAA